GAGTATTTCATGCAATGGAGGTCTTCTGGTCATAAATTCCCTTAGCTTCTGTATGTCTGGAAAGCTGATTTCTCCTTCATATCTAAAGGATAACTTCGCTGGATATATAAATCTTGGCTGGTAATTTCTTTCCTTCAGTACTTTGAACATTTGCTGGATATTCTCTTCTAGTTGCAGAGTTTCTGCTGAGAAGTCCCAGGATAAACTAATGAACATTCCTTTAAAAGTTACTTTCTTCTTTTCCCTAGCTGGCTTGAGAATTCTTTTTTGTCATTAATTTTTGACAGTTTTAATACAATGTGCTTTGTATTGAAAGGCTTTTTTGGATTGAGGTAGTAGGTATTCTGTTTGCTTCTTGGATTCCAAGATCTAGCTCTTTCCATAGGTTTGAGATGTTTTCATCAACTATTTTTTGAATAGGCTCTTTGTTCCTTTCTCCCTCTCTTCTTCTTTTGGTATGCCTATGATTCTTATATTGCTCTTTCTGATGGAGTCAGATACAGTGGTACCTCGGTTTTCAAACGTCTCCGTTGATGAACATTTCGGTTTACGAATGCCGTAAACCCAGAAGTAAATCCTTCAGGTTCCGAACACACCTTGGAAGTCTAACATGCCACACATCTTCTGCTGAGTGCAAGATACTGAGGCCTAGCTGTAGGCTGTTGATCCCTCAGTTTTCAAACATTTCAGAACTCGAACGTTCTTCCAGAATGGGTTACATTTGAAAACCGAGGTACCACTGTAGTTCTCATAGAGTTCTTCCATTTTCTTAATGCTAAATGTTCTCTCTTTTTCCCTTTGTGTCATTTCTAGATTTCTATATTCAGTATCACTAATCCTTTCCTCCATCTATCTGGTCAGCTCTATTTCATATGCTTGCTAGTTCATTCTTGATCTCCTTTATTAAGTTCTTCATCTCCACAGTTTCTATTTGGTTCTGTTTTAAAGTTTCAATATCTTTGGTAAATTACTCATTTTGTTCATTGATTTTATTTCTGAGTTCATTGAACTGTCTGTGTTTTTTTGCATCACACTGAGTTTTTTCAGAACTGTAATCTTGAATTCTCTGTCATTTAAATCACATATTCCCATGCCTTTAAGATTGTTTTCTGGAGATTTTTCATTTTCTTTTGAACTGCCTCATTATCTTGGTGATTCATGGTATTTGATAGATTCCTTCTCTGTCAAGACATCAATGTATGAATGGCATTTCTCTAGCAGATTAATACAAAGAGATATTTTTATTATTTTCCAGTAGGTGGTGCAAAATTACCAGTTTTTTTATGTCTGTGAAATCCCAGTGCTGTCACCACAGCCAGATGCTGCCCTCAATGTAGTCACAGTGTTTGGGGATGGGGTGGGCTGGAGGAACCCAGCAGCCTGTTGTGTTGTTTTTCTCTTTGAGTAATGATCATCTTGGACATCCATGGGTCCCCTTTGTGCCCAGACCTTGGAACCAGTCACAGAGTGCACTCTTTGCTCAGGGATGAAAGTGATGCTGTACTAGCAGTTCTCAGGATTGCTGATAATGTGCTCCACAACTAGACAGCAAGGACAAAGGGAAGCAAGCTCTGGGAGGCTATGGGCAGTCAAGCTCCATGTCTTTATTTCTCTGTGTGGAATGCTGATTGACCTACAATCACTGCCTTACTCAAGTGCTATGTTCCTGACCAGGTCCCTGGTCAGCCTTAGATTGTACTGCTTACTCCTGCAGGAATGCTCACTAAGTCTCTTTGCTCTTCCCAGCTGAATGGAGTGCCAACCACAAATCGATTCCTCTCTTCTCCGGGCTGAGCCCCTGCTGTGAGTTTCCAGATTCATCTGTGGCTCCTTTCAGATTTTTGGCCTTCTCGCCTCCCCAATTCACTTGTATTTTCCCACCTTTAGATTTCTCTTTTTATTCCTCTCCCAAGAATATTTTTTTCCATTGCTTTTCAGGGAGAGTGTAGAGAGAAACAACGTGAGAGAGACACATCAATTGGTGGCCTCCCACACACACCCTGACTGGGGCCAGGAATAGAGCCCACAACATAGGTATGTGCCTTTGGCTGAAACTGAACCAGAGACCCTTCAGTCCATGAGCCAGCATTCTAACCACTGAGCAAAACCAGCCAGGGCACCTTTAGATGTTTCAATGTGCAGATCTCTCAGGTATGTTTGCACATTGAGCATGGAATCCTTTGTTGAGTTATAACAGTTCAATTTGTTGAAAACTTCAAGGGGAGAGACCAAGGGGTTCTCTCATGCCATTCCTCTACCACTGCCTTCCTTTTTATTTAATTAATATATAATTTTCAATAGCAGGACCTTTTCGTGTGTAAACTCACCTATTTTTGCCTAGAATTTTTCTTTATATTTCTCCCTTTTCTCCCTTTGTTATGTGATCTTTTCATGAGTTTTATATTTCCCTAGTTAGGGTAAACTATAATTTTTGTTGGCCTTGTCTATTCAACAAAAATAGAACAAATAAGTGTTAATTAAATTCTTAGTTTATTCTGCAGGACAGAGTTTTTTTTTTTTTAAAAATTACTATTGTTGGCCTACTTACTTTCAAATTATAACATTTATTAAAGCTTATAGATGAATCAAAATATATTTCTTTCCTTCTTTTTATTTATCCTATCTATCCTGCCAGAATATACACTACTTTCAAGACACAACCTTTTTGTAAGTCAAAGTGCTCTCAGTTAACATCACCCATGCCATGGCCCTCCACATGCCTGGAGATATGTTTTGCATTCCATTCTCATTATTTTTAACAAAGAGTCGGGACACATTTGTACACAAAGCCATACAAATGCCCCAGTACTTTAGGTGCATCATATAATTCACTTTTGGTTTATCACACATTCTAAAACAGAATGAAATTATAGAGTGTGTTTATTTCCAAGACACTTCTAAAAACTTCTAATGAGCATGTTTTTTTGTCATTTCCTGACAATCAAAGAAATTCAAACAAAAGCAGATTTGAACAAAGTTAAAATTATGCTGGTAAGCTTATTTGTTTTAGTTGAATTTGGTAAACAGCTTTCAAGACAAATCAGATTTTTTTGGAAGTTCATTAAACTTCCTTGAGGAAGACATGACAAAACTATTATTTAAGTAAAGAACTATCTTTCAAAACAACACATTTTTTTCAAGATAACTGGGTGTAGAGACTCTATAGCTAATACTTGATTTTAATTTGTTAAAACTTTGATTTTACCTGTTAATTTTTACTTTCCAATTGAACTATTTTTGTTTAGGCTGTGCTATCTAATATGGTAGCCACCACCACATGTAGCTATTAAAATTAAGCTTAAATAAAATTTAAAATTCAGTTCGATGGTAGCACTAGTCCAATTTCAAGTATTCAATAGCCACATAGCCAGTAACTATTATCTCAGATATCACAGATTATAGAAATGTAGTCATTGAAGAAAGTTCTATTGGACAGTGTTGCTTCAAAGATAGTATTCACCAAGCCTCGCATTTCTATAAATAGCCAAATGTTTTAAAGCATCTCCAAAAATCTTTCATGTTGGCATATCTACTCTCTAGTTAGTGCTTATTCTTTCCAATTCTTTCTCTGTGACATTTATATCATCATCTTCACATTATGATAGAAGAAACTAAAGGTCAGAAATGTTAAGCTGGAAATGGCATGCTTAGTTTTGCTAAATATAAAATTGTGATTTATATCTTCCTGACTCCTACATCTTTTTCCATTTCATCACATAAGGAGATATCATTGCATGAATTTTACATAAAAATGCTGATTTATAAATAATCTTTCACTTTCCTTATTGTTTTTACTCTTAAATTTATACACAAGTCTGCATGTCACTCAATTTCACTCAAGAGTTCTGTAGCCTTCAATTCCTAAATGTATTTATAAATAATTATATCTTCACAACATATTGGCATCAGCTGAGAAGTTTTCCAATATTTTACAGCTTCCAGGCCAAACCCTTCAGGTAATATGCATCAAAATATCTTATTTATGTATCCTCTGAATAAATTTAACATTAATTATGTTAATCATAATCTAGTAATGAATTGTCACAAAATGTTTATAAAATTTTGAAAATCCCTTGACCATATCTATATTAAATCTACACATTTGTTCTTTTACACATTTTCCAAGATCATTCAAGCACATTATACTATTTCACATATCAAAATCTGAGTTTTCTACCACTCTACATACCACAACGGTAATTAAGTTATTTTGAAGAATACCAAATATTCCATTTAATCTCCCCTTTGCCTTCCCCATCCCAAGACCCAACACAAGCCAAAATACGTTCTTCAGATAAATTGAAACTTTTTCACTACAAGGCTTACTTACTCTGTACAGCAAATAAATGTCCCGTGTTTTCAAAGATTTGGAACAAAATGAAAATATTTAACATCAACAGCACAGTGGCTGAAATTTACTCTTTTTGATGTCTTGAGATTTTTAAAGATCTTAGCTTGACTTGAAAATCATTATGAAAAATATTTATCATTATTCTATACATGTGCAGAAATGCTAGTAATAAAAAATGTTCTGCTCACCTATCAAATAAAATATTCTGGCATATTTTCAAATGGAAAGATAAAGCTTTTTACCTAAAATAATGACTGAGAAAAATTGACAGGTTTGTGGATTCATTCTTAACTTTTAGATTTACAAGATTAGGTCAAGTTTGTGGCAGTTATAACCAGGCAGATTAAAAGTAAGATATATAGGCTTGGTTACTGATTTGTAAGTAGCAAGGTTGAGTCCCTTGTCTGACCACTGCAGTGGATTAAGTAAAACACAAACAACTGGTGAAAATGAATATACATAAAAGGAAAATTCAGATTCATAAATCTTATGCAATTGCAAAAATTTCAGTGATGAATTTTCTCTATAATATTTTGCTTAAACTTTCAAAAATTAGGGTGATGACTTACTCAAAATTTGAAGTATACTAAGATCTTTTTTTTTGTCTTTAAAAATGAACTATTTGTAGCAAAATGTTTTTAAAACGCACCTTAATGAGTTGGTAGTTTTGAACTCCATTTATTCCTGTGTCAGGATCAACGGCCGCTGGGAGAGCATATCGAGAGTTTATAGCTGAATTCTCTGGAATTGATATGTTGATAACTGTAGCTGGGAATAACGGTGCATTATCATTTATATCTTCTATCATAAAACGTATCTTAATCAGTCTAAATATTTCATCCGGCAAAACAGCAACTTCCACTTCATAAAAGCAATGGCCATCCACAATGATACCAGCACATAATTTCTCACGATCAATGCGGGCTCCAGTAGTGAAGATCTCACCAGTACCCTCTTCGATTCGGATCAGTGGCACATCCCCAGTCTTGTACACTAGCTTGAACTGCATGGGAATTGTTAAGGACTTGTGTCGAATTAGTGACAAGTTGAGGTCTTTCTGCAAGTCGCCTATCAGGACGTTTTCTGGCATTTCTTCTCGAATGGTATAGTTTTTCTCCTGGGCGCCAGACTGAAACACGACGCATGCTAACAGGACCGCAAATATATACGTCCCGGACAACAAGTCCATACCAGGCACAGGACTACAGTTCTTTGTGTCCCCCCCTCAGAGAACTGTCAAAAAGAAAAGAAACAAGAGACAAAGAGAAGAGAGGAGGAGGATGAGGAAGAAGATATTAGTAAAACTGACAACTGCTCAGTTTTAAATTAAACTAATTGCTCAGTTTTAAATTAAAATAATTTTAAAAATATTGCACAATCAACACTTAAATAAATTAACAGATTTGTTTTGAATCAAATATTAAGTATTTTTACATTAAGATGAAAGGTAAATGAAACAAGATATCTACAGTAATTAAGAGGCCTGATAAGTCATGTTCACCATTGATAAAATATATAAAAAATAATATTATAATACATCAAGATAGTTAAACATAATAAAAACAATTATTATATTTAATTCAGTGGTTAAGAAAAAATAAAGGAATATGTTACCAACCAGCAAAATATAATCATTAGTCTATTATAATATAGATTTCAAATGCATATTTGTAATGAAGGTATTATACAATATTTTGAGTGTTCTGTTTTTCTGGGCATCAAAATGTAAAATTGATCTAAATAACAGGAAATAAAGAATCATGATATATCAGGGACTTGGGAAGTTTGGATTAAAGAAAAGTCCTTTCAGAGAGGAGAATGGTTGATATGACAAATACCTAAACACGGGAAGAAATATCATGCACAAAACATTTTTTTTTTCCTTTGAATGAGAGGAACAAGAATGAGGATAAATTACAAATGACTGCCCATTAAAACACTTTGGGAAAAACTGGTTTTCAGGAGAGAATAAATTCTGTATCTTTAGAGGTACTGACTGCATCACTGGGTTAGCTCTATATATTTATCACTTGGCAGACGATATCCAAACATTCAGTGGGAGGACTGGACTAGAAGACATCTCAACTCTGAGAATTTCTGTTTATACATGGTAGAAAGTAGCCCATAAGAAATAGGTTTTCACATCTACAAACTGAAATAAAAATTACTTAACGACAAGGAACAGCTTGACTAAGAATTAAAAATGAGAAAGGCACTTGAAAACACTTTGCTGAGTTAAAACAATGAGTCAAAAAACAAACAATATCTCTGGCTGCTTTATTCTCCATTGCTTACTATTTTTAACTCACTAAAATCTGCTACACTGTTTCAGTTTTTTAGTTCTTCTGATGAAAATCAATAAGGATTTTTTTTATTTAAAACTTGCAACATTTTTTCATTTTTCATTATTAATTCTCAATTTTTATTCTCAGCTAGATTTGTTTGATATAGCCTCAATTTTGTATATTAAATATATTTTAATATCTAGTATCATGAGACATTTAATGTGCTTCTAGATGTTATTTATAATTAATATGTTATATAAACATAGTGAAATTTGTATCATGCTGCACTAGACCCTATCCAATGTTATGTTTATGTAATTAAAGAGGGATTAATGCAGCTATCAATGCATTCAGAAGTTTTAAAAGATCAGCTGACAAGTGGGGATTTAAAAATCCATTAAGGAAAACTATTAACACACATAGGTATCTAGTTAAGGAAGTTCTCAATATTAATTGGTAATCAATAATATTAACAAATATTTAGAAAAAAAAGACTCATGAAATGATATATCTTGCTATAGATATTGTGTTTTGATTATGCCAGACAATGTATTATGTTAAATAACTTCCTCTCTGTATAGCTGTGCATTTGCATTAAAAAAATATGTATATGGATAGGTCAGAATACACAAAAGTGGAAAACAGGACACCTTCCTACTTGCAATCAGTAATGAAATAAGTCCATTTGTTAGACCAGCTGAGATGGTTTAGGTCATGAGGAGAACCAAGAAATGAACTAGATAAACTTGAAACATAATACTTTATAATTTCTTATCACTGAATTTAAAAAATATATATCATGGGCTCAACCACTTTTCTGTGTTGAGTGGGTGGTGCTATTTACAAAAAAATTTAAGTATAATATTAAGCAATGTTAATGCTAAAGACATTCTCTAAGTAAACAACACACGAAAACTATTGCCTGTGATATATTTAGCATCATTTGCTCAATGATGAATATTGGGATTACATAATATAGAAATCTAAAGATTCATTCTCTTGTGAATTATTGGCCTTATGCTCTTTTATGAATTTGAGAATAATTTACCCCATTTATACTTACCATGAATTAATATGCATACATACACATGTGTACAATACATTGTGAATCTAGGACATCTAAAAAGTTGAGTGTCTATGTGTGTGAATTTATAAATACCATGCAAACATAAGCAAAACTAAAAATGGGACACTGACAACTAGAATTAAAACTACCACTCTGTTCTTATCTTACCCTTAGGTATTACACATTATTACAACTGGAAGAAGAGTACTACAGACCATTTTTGAAAACACTGCATGCGTGTTGTAATATCTCTACACAAGAGGAGGAATTAAGAAAGTGACCTAATTCTAAGCAGTCCCCTTCTCCCAATCCATTCTAAATCTGTTCTACTTCACTGTTTAATAACATCATCAAATAAAACATTTTAAAATGTGTTTTATAATTGGAAATTCATCTGAAAGTTTTTAAACTGGAAAAAAAAAATAGAAAAAAATAAGGCAATGCCATTTCTAAAACTGAAGTGAAAATACATATTGCAAACCTGAAAGGAATATTTACCCTCTAGTTAGTAATTACTATCATGACAGTTTAGTCACTTATCCAACAAATATTTTTTTTTTATTAAGCAATTTTTAAATTCCAAGTACTGTTCTAGGCACTGAGAATAAATCAGTGAACAAAACAGACAAAAATACCTGTGCTCACAGAGGTTATAAATATTTCAAGATATCTTTCAGTGTTGAACCAATGTATAACAAACTCAACTCTGCCTCTGCCAGGATGTAAACATTCATGATTAAATAACCTAAATCTCCACTATTTGATTCCAATCCTTGAATTTGACAATTGAAAATGTATTTTTATCTTTAAAATTAAAATGGTTCTCCTTTAAAATGCTGAGTTTAATTCTTTGAATGACAAATATGGAAATTTAGCTACTAAATATGAGTATAATGAGTCACTGCTTGGTTTTACAGAATTATGATAAATTTACATGAGCTATTCAGGGAAAATATTCCTACACACATACCTTCACATGGCTCTAATTTTCTCTCTCTCATGAACAAATGATAAGATTAAGATTATTTTTTAACGTTCTTCCATATTCCACTCTTACTATAACTTAAGTTTAGTTTGTAAATTGATAAGACAAGCACAGTGAAAGCAGATACAGAGAATTAAATTTTCTACAGGTTTCAGTAGTGCCAGTGCTGTTTAAGTGATATTTTCATAGGCAATACATAGTGGTTCGGTAGGCAACAGTCATAGTTAGAGGGAAAGAATCATGATAATTAGAGAAAGCAAAAACAAAAACAAAAGAAGTAACTCTGATATTTTAAGATGTGTAAAGCAAAAGTACAAGTTCCTTTTATAGTCTTTGAACGATCTAGTTCTAAAAAGGTAAGTAGGTAGGGGAACGAAATCTCTACTATGCAATTCTAGAGAGTTCAAACCTTAAAAGTGATGCTGAAATGGTTTGTCAGAAGAATTCCAAGGCATAATTTCCTTGACATACTTGATACATTTTCCCTCATTAGTGTGCTGTGTTTAATTTGCTGTACACTTAAATTAATTTTTCATGAATGAATGGCTTACATACTACAATAACAAATTCTTAAAAACAGTACAAATTTGGGTATTACATGAAAATAAACAGATATCTATATGTTGGCCATAATCCTAACTCTACTTGGCTCCCATCATTTTAATTACTTTAATGTCTCTTTAAGTAAAAAATACACCATTAAACAACTACAATATAGTCACTTTTATGTTCTCTTTCTCATGCACAGTCAAAGCTTCTTTCACAGGCTGGGAAAATGATAAGGTAGTTCTTAAGGTTGACAGGAAAGAATCCAGGGCTTTGCAAGAAAAGTAACCACATCTGGAAAAAAAAAATACTTGAAAAACTGCTACACTCAATATTTCCAAAGGGACTGACCACAATTAAGGTGAGGGAAGTGTATCAGCATCTTCTTTGAGTTAACTATTTTCTATGTGTTCTTAAACTTGAAATTTCAAAATTGAGGAATCTCAGAAGGAAGGCGGAGGTGGGTGGGGAGAGATTAACCAAAAATTTATATGCATATATGCATAACCCATGGACACAGACAATAATGGGGTGAAGGCCTGGGGTGGGGGTGGGGGTGCAGTAGAAGGGATCAGTGGGGACAAAAAGGGCGACATCTGTAATATTTTCAAAAATAAAGATAAATTTTTTTGAAAAAATATTAATAAGGTACTTCAATTCCACAAAACTGGTATTTTTATTGAATTTTATTCCACAATGGACTCATTGACTGCATTTCATTTTTTATGGATCAACTTTTCACATTTGGGTCCAATCTTCTCCAAGAAGTGGATTCCATCACTGTTGCTTCCTTCTTTAAAATGTTTATTTATTTTTTTTGCCCGGCCTGTATTGCTCAGAGGTTGAGCATCGACCTAGGATCCAGAAGATTGCAGTTTGATTCCCAGTCAGGGCATGTGCCCTGGTTTAGGCTCAATCCCCAGTAGGGGGCGTGCAGGAGGCAGCCAATCAATGACTCTCAACATTGATGTTTCTCTCTTTCTCTCTCTCCCTCTCATTTCCTCTCTCTGAAATCAATAAAGATATATATTTTAAAAATAAAAATAATAGTAAAAAATATTTTTTATTCATTCAAACCCACAATCTTTTAGGGTGCAGGATGACAATCCAACCAATTGAGCAACCTGGCCAAGGCTGTATTTTGCTGATTCATTCAATACTCCACAATAGTTAGTGCAGTGTTTTCTAGCAGGGTTTCAAATCTGTTAATAACCAATGCTCAAAGAGCACTTAAAAGGTACTTTATAAAGTTTGTTCTTTTATATTAATTATTCTGGATTTTTGATATATGATTTAGGGAGAGTTTGTAATATGGGATTAAAGGTTATTAAAGAAAGAATCATATTCTATA